CCGACCCTTAATCTATGAATCTATGAATCTATGAATCATGTGTGCATACTTTAGAAAGCCATTTGAGTTGCCGGGAACACTGCTAAAGGAACAGGCCTGATTCATCCTCCTCTGAAACCAACTGGAATTTCTCCTAGGGGATCCCGTCCAGCCTTGCACACTCCTGAGGAATTTGCGAGTCCTGTCCCAGCTATCACAGGTAACCACACCACATAATCTTACCCATAATCTTACCAATCCCCATTCTAACACGAGTCTGTCTCTTTGCTCCCACTTCTTATGTTTCACCTGTTCCAGAACTTCACTCCTCTGACAAACTCCCTCCTTGCTGCCAGACTAAATTCAGTCATAGCATGTCAACACCTAGTTTTCCTTTAAAACTAAGTGTCGACATGCTAACTTAAACTTACACAGCTCTTTTCCCTCCCTGGCATTTGTAAAGAAAATTCACGTCCTCTCAGCTTCTGCTTTTCTTAGCCAAGCAACTAACAGTCGCTGGATCAGGCCCACACATCTCATTGGCATCAGCCCCCTGGTCAATGATCTCGAGGTAAAAGTGTGCGGAGGCAGGAGGTGGAAACAGATGTAGCAAAACTGACAGAACATACAGGGCCAAACTCACCTGAATGTCCTTCCCTTCACTGCAGTGATGTCTCATCCGGTAACACCAGGGCTGTATATAACCCACCCTGCATATGTATTACAGTCCCATCTGTTTAAATGCATTTGAGAACTGCTTAGTTTGATCAGCAGCAGGGAGCAGGGAAAGGCAACTTTACAGGCAATGTCTTTTCTCAGGCTGATCCACCGGCACCAAGCGAGACCAGTTGAGAGTGATGTGTTTCCCCTAGGCAAAGAGATGCAAGGTCTCTGATAAGCAGGGCACCCATTTCACAGGCTCCTAAAATGATTCCATTACTTATGCAATGCCTGCCCCCAAAATCAGAAACCTGCCCCATGACAGACAGCAGATTTGTAGCCTTTTGCTTGCCGGTATAAATAGACCACGCTTTAAATTTAATTTAAAGCAGACTGCGTCATGCGGCTGCTAAAACAGGAGCTGCTGTTTGGCAGCTGTGAAAGGAAAGAAACAATGCAGGATGAGCTGACACCTTTTTACAATGCAGGATGAGCTGAAGTGACTGCACCAGGGGGCTGAGTCACGGAGGAAGGAAGGGGAAGGTAACGAAGCCACATGCCAGTGATTTATGCAAATGTCCTAATGCAGATACTTTCCCTGTGGATAATTCTGGTGGCAGTCATTTGAATTGTGATTGGAAGCTAGAGCTAGGAGCTTCATAAAGCATCTCTGGAGTGCTTTGCTCAGCAAGAGATAGCTTTCTAATTCAAACACCAGACCCTCCTTTCTGCATGGGAATGCCAGGACATCAGGGCCAGCACTGACTCCTGGGCAATCACAGCTGTCCCCTCTGTCCTTAAAAAAATAAATAAATCTATGCACCTTTGATTAATTCTGGCTGAGAGCAAATGTCTTTCAAGTGGATTTTGAGCTCTTCAGGACAAGGACAGCGTTTCCTCTCGTGTTTCTATACAGCCGAGAAGAAAACAGTTACAAGCTGCCTGGTGCTGGGTTTGCAACAGACCATTACCGAGTCCCTGGTTAGGCGTGAAGAATAGGGTTTTGGTTTGCAATTTTTTTTTTAGCTGTGGACCCTGTCAAGCAGGGGACCAACCTCTTGACATCCATCTGAGAAGCAGCATCTACAAGCATGGTCCCAGGTCCCTTTAGGGATTTCCAGTCAGTCCTTGACCCCAGCCAGGTTCCTCTTTGAGGGAGAGCTGAAGGGAAGACCTTGATCGCACTCCCAGCCAGCACCCAACTGGGTCAGACTCTTTCCTTTTAAGCCATTCTTCCAACCCTGATATCTGCAATAAAAAGTAACTAGGCAGAGCTGACTGAGCCCATGACAGTCCTCTGGCCTCTTCACAGAGCACTGGGGGATGGGATGCTACATCGCAGGGCTCTTCTGATCCTGGCTAGAGCCTGAAGATGTTGCAGCAAAATAAACACAGACCACAAGAGTGAATTTTCAGTGACACTGACGTAATTTAGTATTATTCAAGTAATGGCACTTCCACAGCATCTCTGCTACCCAGATACCCCAAGGACAGGCATGGCTGAAGTGGAGAGACAGTTCTCAAAGAGAATTGATGAGAAATTCTCAGCTGCGTTAACTCTTTCACATAAGCAGAGTTTCAGCTTTTGACCCAATAATTAGGTTTCGTAGCATCTGAGTGGGGAGGCAAGTATTTGTAATTTATTTTTACAGACTGGAAAAAAATGAGTCAATACAGGGCCTAGTTACCTGTCTAAGGATTGTACTAAAAGTCTGGGTCAGAGATAGACTTAGAACATAGTTCCCTATGACTCCCATCACCTTGCTTTCCCTACCAGACTTTCACAAAAGCCCTCTGATGACTGAAAGTTGTTTTTGGAAATGGTTTTCCAGCAGTCGGTTTTAAACCCCCCAGTACAAGTATTTCAAAAGCCAGTAGCAGGCTCGGGGTGCAATGTTCTGCATTTAGCTTGTTCAACTTTTCCACATTGACCAGAACAGCTTGTGAGTGGGATCAAATCATTTCTAGAAAACACGATTCACAGGCAAATGGAGCCACTGTCCTGCTATTTGTGCAAATGCCCAGGCAAAAAAA